GACTGGGGGGGACGGGAGGGGGGCGGTAATGTGTCCTCTATGGTCAGGACGGAGCTGGCCTGAGGGCATGGTTCTCCGCAGGAGGTCGCTGTCCACACGCTGCTGGTTCAGTGTTGGGTACTGGGCGAGAGCCCATGTCAGAGCTCCTGGGAACTTTGGTGAAGACCGAGCCTGGTTTCCTGGACCCAGGAGCTTCAGAGCGGGCAGTGGCTTGGGTTGTCTCCACATGTCTTTTTGAGGTACCAGCACCCTTCTTTCTTTGGGGTGCCCGTCCTGTCAACGCAATGACAGCCTCTCTAGTCTGTTGTTGGTGGGTGTGTGTTCTGCTGCTGTCTGGGGTACCCAGCGTCGTGAACGTGGACCCTGAGACTCCTCACCAGATTGGGACATCTCTGTGAGTAGCATTCATAAGCTGATTCAGAAACCACAATAAGAAAGGAATTATTTCCAGAATCACTGAGGCTTTGATAATTCCTAGTGCCTTTCCACGTAGCGAGGACAGAAAATCCCTCTCTTGTGTTTACAGTGTGAGCACCAGCATGGTGGCTGGGTGAACCTGTGCCCAGTCTTCCTGGACCAGGTCAGGTCAGGCAGTGCTGTGGAGTGCTCCTTGCTCTGAGTCAGCCCAGTCCACCTGGACCAGGTCAGGTCAGGTTAGGCAGTGCTGTGGAGTGCTCCTTGCTCTGAGTCAGCCCAGTCCACCTGGACCAGGTCAAGCAGTGCTGTGGAGTGCACCTTGCTCTGAGCCCAGTCTGTCTGGACCAGGTCAGGTCAGGCAGTGCTGTAGAGTGCTCCTTGCTCTGAGTCAGCTCAGTGCCTGGACCAGGTCAGGTCAGGCAGTGCTGTGGAGTGCTCCTTGTTCTGAGTCAGCTCAGTGTGCCTGGACCAGATCAGGTCAGGCAGTGCTGTGGAGTGCTCCTTACTCTGAGTCAGCCCAGTCCACCTGGACCAGGTCAAGCAGTGCTGTGGAGTGCTCCTTACTCTGAGTCAGCCCAGTCTGTCTGGACCAGGTCAGGTCAGGCAGTGCTGTGGAGTGCACCTTGCTCTGAGTCAGCCCAGTCTGCCTGGACCAGGTCAGACAGTTCTGTGGAGTGCTCCTTGCTCTGAGTCAGCTCAGTGTACCTGGACCAGGTCAAGTCAGGCAGTGCTGTGGAGGGCACCTTGCTTTGTGTCAGCCCATTCCACCTGGACCAGGTCAGGCAGTGCTGTGGAGTGCTCCTTGCTCTGAGTCAGCCCCAGTCTGTCTGGACTAGGTCAGGTCAGGCCATGCTATGTAGTGCTCCTTGCTGAGTCAGCCCATAGGGTTGTTAAATACTTGGAACTATGGGAACTCCCAGCAACCAACACACAGTTAGTTACTTTTCTGCCACTAACTGAGCAACGTGCTTATTAATTGACTTGTAATAGAGTCATCTCTGAAAAAAAGTCACCACTGAAAAGAATATCTTAGGGTGTAATTAAAATTTGTTTCATTGGAAATAGAATATAAATAGAAGATCTGTATTGTAGAAGTTAGGAAATATTGACATATTTACAAAGAGATTAGCATCGCTAGGAAAGGAAGCTACCTCACATTCATTGAAAAGCTAAGTATTGTAGAAAATATAGAATTCAGTGTCATAGTTTCTGCTGTTTTATAACATATGTGTGTGGTTCTCAGATTACAAAATGCGTATCCTTGTGCACTGAGTATAGTCTGACATACATGTAGCATAGTATCTCAGTTTTACATTCTTGAAACAGCTACCTAGTGATAACCGAATAAGTCTGGCTCAGGTCTGAATACAAATTGGCTTCTTGTAAATGTGATTGAAAGACATTTGGCTTACTTTTTAAGCTAGCTTCACCGGGGATGGGATGTAGCTCAGTGTTAATCTACTGAGGATGTCCAGGCCCTGGATTTGATTCCCAGCACTGAAAAGGAAAAAGAAGAAAAGACCCTCCACTGGTCATAAGACAGTGATTTGAAATGATTTTATATGAGATGCATTTATTTTGTGTTTCATTTTTGTTTAACCAAACAAATTATCCAGAGCAAGTGATACTCAGAAATTTTGCTTCCTTCTTGAAACAAGGTCTTGTAGCGGGGCTGGCCTCTGACTCACTGTCTTTCTGCTTCAGCCTCTTGAGACCTGGAATTAGAGAATGGCCTAGCTCAACATGGAGACATTTTAACCATCCGATGGTGAAATTAACATTTTCAGCTGAAATGAAATGCTTTGGAGGATGTTCTGGTGTGGACATGTAACAAACAGAAGTGCTGGGAGCAAAGGCTGAAATGGTGACAAGACTCCCTCACCTAGCACTCACACAGATGGAAGTTTATTATGAGCTGGACAACTTACAAATACTGAAAGATAGGATTATGTTGTCTTAAATTGAGACATGAGATATTATTTAGCAATTACTTTCCTCTCTAAAACCACCAAGTATGTTTAGGTTCTTTTTTGTAATTTTGGATTTTAAACACGTGATACACTGTATAATCAAACTCATTTGTTCAAACTTAAGCTCATTGAAATTATTGTCAACAAAATTTGTTAATCCTTCTTTTCAGTGCTACAGTTGAAACATGGGGCTTTTTTGCTTGTGAAACAACCATCAGATTACAGAACCCAGCTCTGTTTATTTCAAACCTATTTAGATACTTATTGTCATTTTGCTCCTCTCCATGAGAAACTCCAAAATACTATTTGGTCATTCAGAACCTAAATGGCCCCCTTTGAATGAGAGCTCTGCATTATGTTGTTCTAATTCTGCATGGCATTGGAGACCCAAGAGTATTAGTCAGTATTTTGCTTTTTAATTTTGTGGTTCCAAGGATTGAACTCGGACCTTGTGCTTGCCAGGCTACTGGCTAGTCGTGTAGCCTTTTTCTGTTTTCCAGATAGGGTCTTGCTGTATGCCTGGCCTGGCCTGGCCTGGCCTGCAGCCCTCCTAGTGTTTACTCTTTCTGTTGTCTGTTTTATGGGGTTTGGCCAATGGATACTGACACATACCCATGTGTATAGTTTACAGGTTTATTCCACTGTCCTAAAAAAATCCATGATTTCTCCAGAGCAGTGGCTTATGCCTATAATACTAGGTACTTGGGAAGTGGAGATTGGGAGGATCACTGTTCAAAACCAGCCTGGCAAACGTTAGACACCATCTCATCTGGATGTACTTGCTGGTTTGTGCCTGCTATCTCAGCCCCTTGGCCAGCATAAATGCAATTTATTGTTCAAGCTATTTGGGGCAAAATATTTTAAAAAATAGTTAAAACATGGCCCAAGTGGTAGAACACCAATCTAGCCAGCATGAAGCCCTGAGTTCAAATCCCTGTATTACAAGAAAAGGCCTCTGTGTCTAACCTACTCCCCCTCCCCAATCCCTGGCAATCACTGATCTTCTCTACTGCCCACATTTAGCTCTGCCTTTCTCAGAATGCTGTGGGTGTGACTGTGATGTGTCCCCAGCTCAGAGCACTGCGTGGTGGAACTGTGACATGTCCGCAGCTCAGAACGCTGTGTGGTGTGACTGTGACATGTCCCCGGCTCAGAGCTCTGCATGGTGTGATTGTGACGTGTCCCTGGCTTAGAACGCTGTGTGGTGTGACTGTGATGTGTCCCCAGCTCAGAACACTATGTGGTACAACTGTGACGTGTCCCTGGCTCAGAATGTCATGCGGTGTGACTGTGACATGTTCCCAGCTCAGAATGCCATGTGGTATGACTGTGATGTGTCCCCAGCTCAGAATGCTGTGAGGTGTGACTGTGACATGTCCCCGGCTCAGAGCTCTGCATGGTATGACTGTGACATGTCCCCGGCTCAGAGCGCTGTGTGGTGTGACTGTGATATGTCCCCAGCTCAGAGCGCTGCGTGGTGTGACTGTGACGTGTCTCCAGCTCAGAACTCTGTGTGATGTGACTGTGATGTGTCTCCGGCTCAGAATGCCATGTGGTATGACTGTGATGTGTCCCTGGCTCAGAGTGCTGCGTGGTGTGACTGTGACGTGTCTCCAGCGTTTCAGTTGATTCCCAGTTCAGTGGTAGGACTTAGGTGGATGGGCTCTAGGTCCTGACTGTATCTTGGGTTCTCTCCCCCATCTCTTTGTCCTTCCAGACCTTTATCTTGTAGTATGTTAGTTTCCCCAGAGGGGTTTCTTCAAGAGGTTTCCCCACTTTTATACAAGGAATCCCAGTCCACCGCCTCTTGTCTCTTTCCCCTCCCTCTTCCATCTTATTGTTCTGTTTTCATTGACTGAATTCATCCTCACTGTTAGCTCTCCCCCTTACTGGGGTCAGCCCTTCCTCCCACAACACATCTGAGCCTGTTTTGTGTGTGTGTGTGTGTGTGTGAGACTGGGGTCAGCCCTTCCTCCCACAACACATCTGAGCCTGTTTTGTGTGTGTGTGTGTGTGTGTGTGTGTGTGTGTGTGTGTGTGTGTGTGTGTGTGTTCCCTTGGTACTGGGTTTTCTTGGTCTTGAGTTCACCGTGTAGCCCAGGAGCCTGTTTTATTTTCTGTGTGTGTGTGTGTTCCCTTGGTACTGGGTTTTCTTGGTATTGAGTTCACCGTGTAGCCCAGGAGCCTGTTTTTATTTTCTGTGTGT